GGGCGCCTCCCTGGGGCGCCCTGAGCCCTCCGAGGCTTCAGCCCCTCCACGGGGGGCTCCGTGTCCCCCCAAGGGGCTCCGTGTGCTGCCGGGGGGTTCGGTGCCACCTCCACCCGGCTCAGTGTCACCCGAAGTGTGCAGTGTCCCCCCCCCGGGGTTCATTGCCCCCCTCGTGGGGTCTCAGCGCCCCCGGGCTCTCGGTGTCCCCATTGGGGGCCGCAGGTGACAGAGGCCGGGCAGGGGGTCGGGACGGAGGCGCTAGGGACAGGCTGGACCCCCGCGCGGCTCCGGGCGCCGGGGGCCCCGCGGCTGCCCAAGATCCCTGCGCCCATGGGGGGCACGTCCAGGCAGTGCTGGCGATTTGGGGTGTCCTCCCCCAGAATCTGTACATACACCTAAGTATTCAGTATCCTTCCTTAAAGAACAATCCAGGGATTTTAAAATTACTCAAATTAGCCTGGAAACACAAAGAACAAAAATTATTGTTGTTGTTGTTGTTGTTGTTATTATTATTATTATTATTATTATTATTATTATTATTACGGTCCCAGCTTTCACATCTCTTTCCCTTGGGCTCGTTTCAGAGAGAAGCGATGCAGGATGAAATGTCCCGACAGAAGCACGGCCGGCTGCCGACGGCGGACCCGACGGAAGCTGCTGGCTGAGTTTCCCTTCGTGCTGAAATATTTTCTTGCAACTAACACCAAAAAAGGTTTGCTGCTGGGTCAAGATCGCAGAGCTGCATTTTAACCAGGAGTTGCCCGTTGGGTTTCAACACAGCACCGGAGCGGCTGTCGAAGCCCAGCCAGAGTCCATAGGCTCCTTTATTCCATAGGAGACATCCACGGAGCCTTGTGTGCTTGATGCTGAATGTGATTCCTGTCATAAGAGCAGCACCTGGTGCTGACAGCCTTCGGCTGCTGCTCTGCGAGTCGTCGCTGAGGGGGCCAAGGGAAAGCCGTGGTTTAAACATGTTGGATCAAGGAATTTCAGCCCCTGTCCAGTCACTCAGCTACTGCTCTGACTAGCTACGATGAGAGGAAAAGATCAATTTTTACACTGTCCATCCTAAAAGTGCTGGTAAGAGCACCTCCAGGGCATTTAAAAATACTAAAAGTTCTCAGTAGCAGCCTTTGGAAAATACAGATAAATTTCTGAGATGGGTCAGTCAGTCACTAGGAAAGTGAGGCAGGGATCTGCAGGAAGTCTCTGTTCCACTCCTCTGGAACACAGCAAGATAAATGCATATACATATATATACATATCCTATTGGATGCTTTTAACAGCCTGGCCTTCCTTAAATGCAAGTCATTCCCCCTTTTGTTCCTGGGTGGGAATCCAATCCCAGCCACTTTGGAAATGAGCCCTGAGCTGCTTTAAAAATACATCAGAAAGAACCGTCCCTAAAATAAGAGTAAGCAGAGCACCCAACTTGAGGCTCAGCATCACCCTAGTGCCACCAACTGCTCCAGACAGTCCCCCGTTATGTGGCTAGGGATGTTACAGCTGAAAGAGCTCATTGGGTTTGGGTGGTTTTTTTTGTTTTTGTTTTTTAACTCTGTTGGACAAATTCAAATACTTTCAATATCTTTTTTTTTTCCTATTGCTCCAAAGAAAAAGATATTGTAAGAGGCAAAATAAACAAACACATTTTAATGTAAACATAATACTCTATAAATCACAGCAGCAACTTGGTCTGTGCACAAGGAGGCGTGTGTGAACACAGATGCTGTGGAGTACACGGGATCCACCATGGAGCACACAGGAACTACCATGGAGCACGCGGGATCCACCATGGAGCATGCAGGATCCACCACGAAGCGTGCAGGATCCACCACAGAGCGTGCAGGATCCACGGAGCATGCAAGATCCACCACGGAGCGTGCAGGATCCACCACGGAGCACACAGATCTATCATGTAGCACACGGGATCCACCATGGAGCATGCAGGATCCACCACGGAGTGTGCAGGATCCACGGAGCATGCAAGATCCACCACGGAGCGTACAGGATCCACCACGGAGCACGCAGATCACCATGGAGCGCACGGGATCCACCGTGGAGCGCGCAGGATCCACACAGAGCACACGGGATCCACCGTGGAGCGCGCGGGATCCACACAGAGCACACAGGATCCACCGTGGAGCGCGCGAGACCCGTGGCACCCGAGGCGGCCTGCGGCTGCGCCAGCCCCGCTGCGAAGGAGCGGTCGCAGCCCGCCGCCAGCTCGTGCCAAGCGCACCACGTACATCTGCTCCTCTCTTGCCAGTGACCTCCCCTGGACTGAGCAAGCAAAGACAAAAGAGAGCACTCGGGAACACTCTCAGGTTTTGCTCCAGGCTGCTGCTCCTGCGCGGGCTGAGGGCATTCCCGCGCAGCCAAGCAGCCCCGCTGCACCCTCCACTTACCAGCGATCCTTGGGGCAGCAGGTCCGCCCCGCACACGCAGGCTCCTCGCAGGGAGGGGGTTTGCATGTGGCTGAACCAACTGCTCCACGTTTCTAAAGCAGAAATCCTTCCGAGGCAAAAGTCAGCTTTAAAAGCCTCAGCCAGTGCTAAGCTATTAACCCAATGCTGAATGTTTATGGAAACTTAAGAAGAAAAAAATAAAACCCCCATTGAAGCAGCTGCAACCGGAGCCCTGAATGGGCTCGATACAAAACCCGCTTGGCTCAGCCCGGCCGCGCTCGTCCTGCTGCTGGCCTGCATCCAGCCTAAAAGTTTCCATCAAACAAACTGGGCTGAGCGCATCAGCTGCGCAGAAAGCAGCCCGGAGCCGCGGCAGCAGCTGCTCCTCAGAGCTCCCATTTTCCTCCTCCTCTGCTGCCGCAGACCTCACCGGGCTCGGGGTGCTAACGTGCACGCAGCGTAAACAGCTTGGCCAGTTTGTGTTCGCACGTCAAAACAGCTTAATGGATTTTGCATGATGGCATTGCAAGTAAAATTAATGTCGACGTCGAGAGAGCCAAGGCGCACACCTCCGAGCGCCCATGCGCAGCGCACACCAATGTTTACCCAAGGGCAGGCGAAGCAGGTTGACAATTAGCTAATGCAGCTTTGTGGACATAAAGCAGGTACATTCGAGCAGAACCAACATAAAATAAAAAGGAAACAGCCCTTTTCCTGCCCCACGCTAAGAGTGCCATGGTTAGTGGTTTGGGAAGTCTCTGTCACACTGAAAAATCTCCTTGCCAGTGTTTAATGTGTTTATTCTTCCCGCTGCTCTGCCGGGATCAGCGGGACAGCCGCAGGACACACCGGCTGCGGGCAGCAGCTCCTGTCAATACTACAGTAATTGACAACATACGATCGAGTCTCACACCTGTTTATTGTAAGTAATTCATAGATAACCACTTCTAGTACACATTTTCATATTAGCTTTTAATGCTTTTATCTTTTAAGCTCAGGGACACCCAAACTCCGTCTAGGGGTCAGCACGGCACTTTACCCAGGTCCAGAAGACTCTACCTACTGGTACAAGTGGTGCGGGTTGGTATCGTATCCAGGGGTGACAGAGACGGCTCGGAAACCACGTCCCCGAGAGCAGGGCGGCTGGCGCGGCCGCAGTGCGCCGGGGAGCCGCCCGTGGCCGCGGCCGCAGCGGCCACAGCGGGAACAAAGTCATAGCTACATATTCTTCTCTACAGTTTTGTTTATTGAGACAAACTAATTAAAAGGCACAAACATAGGGCATATGTTTACATGGACATTATAACAAACATATACATTAAAAGTGTAGGAATGTGTTTCCTTTCTGCTAAACAGAAAGTTCCTAAGCTTTTATATATACAAAAGTTGTACAATTTGATGTCCTAAAGTACAAAAGATCATTTATAAAATTATTTTACACTAAGCTCTATTTTTTTTTTTGTTTTTGTTTTACTATGTAGTCCAAGCCCCTAGAACAGTTTCACGTAATGATAGAGATACCTGTCACCCGAGCCCGGCGCGCGGCCCTCGCTGCCCCGCGGCCGCGCGCCTCGAGCAGCCGGGCCCGCTCGCGCTCTGCGCAACGCCAGTCTCCACAGCTTCCCACCTCGTTAGGAGAAAAACATCGCAACTGTCATTTTATTATTATTTTTTTAATGTAGAGTCTTGGTTTTAGGGTGTTTTTTTTAAAACAAAGTTTTAAAAACGTGAATATGTGACATGATAGTCTAAAAAGTATATCTGTTTCCCTAGATTTTGCTTTCTACTTTATGTACAGATAAACAGGTTAAGAAATAAAAAGCACATGTAGCTTAAACATGTGTGATCATTTATGGAGAAGTTCTGGGCCGGACAGTTCGGACCACCACCCCAGAACTCCCACAAACTGATAGAAATGTGTTAACACAATAGAAGAATAACGTAAAAATGATGATGTTTGCAAATATTTACAAAGTTGAACAGATTTGCACAACACTTGATTAAGAAGTAGGGGAGAAATTAAAAGACGCTCTCTGCTTGTCCTGAAGGGGCATCCTACCTAGTTAGTGGTTAGAATAAAAACTGTATACAATTTAATATAAGACAAAACTTCTAGTGAACAACTAACACGTCTGTCCCCTGCTGCAACACCAGCAGGTTCTGATTGGGAGACAGAGGGCATAAAAATCATACCCGGTGTCTCCAGAATCTTCCAGCTTAAAGCAGTTATTTCATAAGTTTCAAAGCACTCCTTTTGCTCCTAGGTAAGAGTCCCATAGGGGTCTGACTGCTCAGAGACCATGTTCACGTACATTTTGACTCTTCTGTCAGCCGTGGCTGTTTCTCACCAAACAAGAACAGGTGGTTTTTTTTAAAAAAAATGTCGACTACAATGCTATATTCCCTTAGGGTAATATGTTGGGTAATATTTACATCTCCAAATATCAGGTCACAATCCCTATTATATGTTGAAGTTAGAATGATAAGTTATCATATGCTTTGCATATCAGAGCTGGTATCACCTTTCCCATAGGGAATGCTGCCTGAAATTATCATATTCCCAAAGGTAAAATGCATATTTTCTCCAAAATGCATTTTTAAAAATGACAACATTGTAATGCATTTACTCATTAAAAAAAAAAAAAAAGAAAAGAAAAAAAGAACATTAACACAGACAAAGATTCTACACTAGCTCAGAAATAATGGACTTACAACTGGCAAGTTAAAATTAGCCATCCACCCTGTTAAAGATACAGAGGGGTCTTTGCTAGTGTTTACATTAAAATAATTTTCTAAGTTACGATTTGGGGGATAAAACATAAAGCTGATTTTTAACAACTTTTTTTTTTTTTCACTCTGACAAGTACGTTATCTGCTCTAATTCAGTATCAGTCAGCTAAAAGGTAAAAGGTAAAACTTACTTTTAATGAAGTGCTCCAGTGAAACTCAAGTTCGAACAATAGCCAAATCGACAGGGGAAGATGCTACTATGGTCTCTGACGGTGCATGCCACACCAGTGACTTAGCTCGAGTTATTATTAACTAGAAGAAAGAACTAAAAAAACCCAAAAAGCAACTGCTGGTAAGGATTCCGTTTTAATCCTCTTAATACTGTTTGGAAATTCTTTACCAGGGAGGAGACGTGGGCAAGGCTTGGGGCAGGAAAGGCATGCTCTCTACCGGCCGCATTGCTATATTTAACGGACCCGCTAACGTCATCGGCGTGGGGAGGTTCATGGGAGACGTGATGGTGACTGGATGCGCTATATTCACTGGGGCGGTTACGGGGGTGGGTAAATTGACTGGTGTGGTGAGCGTTAATGGAGATGTCATGGATAATGGACTGGTGATGGTTACAGGATGCCCTAAGTTCATCGGGCTGGATATATTAACTGCACTTGATACATTTACTGGACTTCTCATGCTCATTGCAGCTGCCACTGTGACTGGGTTTGTGATAGTCCCAGAAGCCACAGAGGACGTTATATTGAATGGAGTAGTAAGAGTCACAGGCGTAGTAGCAGCAGTGGAGGTTTGGCACAAGTTAGCAGCTTCTAAAAATGAGACATAAAAAGACAAAAAGTTTTTAAACACATAAAAAACCATGGACAAGATTTTAAAATAAAAAATAAAATAACAACAAACAAGAACAGGTACAAATTTTGGAATAATTTTCTTTAGGAATTATTAGTAAGTTAAAACTGTTAACATTCTATAGTCTGCAAGAAATACAAACTCTCATGCAGTTCATATGAGTTCATTATTTTTTTTCCTGGGAAGTCAAGCAAAGTTGTCTATTATAAAGAGGATTTTATTCATAAAAACAGCATCGCACAATCAAAAACATCCTCCCAAGAGGAACATTATAAATAGAGGAGAGAGTGTACATACCGAATGGTACGTACTCTATAGCCTTCTCAAAGGTGAACTGACATTCTGTGAAGGTTTTAAAAAGTCATTATTAGGGACTGAGAAGCAAAGCTCGTTTCAATATTTACACCTGCTTATTTCAGTCTTTCTGATTTGCACTCAGCAGCTCCACCGATCACAACGCGTCTACCCGTTAGCTCTTCCAACCCCCAGCAGCTGCTCAGCTTTCACATTAACTACAGTTCCACACCGAGGTCGGGCTTTTGCTCTTGTTTTTTACTTTGCTTTGCAGCAAGCAGGAATTAAGCGCGGGACAAGGAGGGGCTGGCAGGGGCTGGCACCGCGGAGAGGGCCCCGGCGTCCGGCGAGGGTCCGCTCGGCATCAGGCCAGGCGGCGCGCGCCGCAAACGTATCAAGAGCGGGTTAACTTTAAACGCAACATTAGCCCCATGCAAGGGTTACTGTTGGGTCTTCAAAGTCCACATCTAGGAGGGGTGGAGGGGAAGGGAAAGAGTGAAAAAAAAATTGTGAAAATAAATAATATTGGACTTAAAGAAAAGTCCTGTACAGTGTGGTAAAACCAACACAAGAAGTGGCACTGACGGGGGGACCAGCACACAAGGAGTAACCGAAGTGACTGCTCCAGCCTCGGCGTCCAAGCAAGGGAACGCACAAGGACCCCCAGCCCTGCCCGCTCCCACGTCAGCCACGTGAACCGGGTATCATCAGTCTGGCAACGCTCCCCCGCCTGCCGCCCCGCGCGCCCTCCAAACCACCCTTCCTGCTGCGGGATATTCAGGAACAACAACGCGAGAGGCAGGGAAGGGGCAACAACACAGCGGGAAGGGCAGGTAGAAAAAAATCCACTTTTTAACATTTTTAGAGACTTCGTAAATCTGACACCCCTTTGCTTTATCCATTTAGCACTCTGATTATATTTAATTCATTAATTTTCATTTTAATTAAACTTTATGTTAGCATTACTAATGTCTAATCGCAGAATTCAATCAATTGAATTGGACTGGAATAACAATCAAGGAGAAAGGAGCAAGCAGCCTATTGCACAGACAAGACCTAGAGAAGAAAAGAATGAAGAAACTAAAAGGAAATTTAGGGGAAAAAAAAAAGGAAAAAGAAAAAGAAGAAGAGTTGAGAACATTTATTAATCAGAAACAGAGCTAGTGAAAACCAGCAAGTGGTCACTAAGAATTTGTTCTAAAACATGTAATCCACAAGAGTCACATGGCAGGTATTAGAAATCAAAGTGCTATGGAAAGAATAAGCAAGCAGCAACGGATTTGCAGCTGCTGCACTTCAGCACAAGTCACTAAATCGAAGCAACCTATTCCTTCCCAAACTAGCACACCCAGTAACGAAATGAAGTATTCAACTGCAGCAAGACAGGTGAGCGCAAGCTGGCAAAAATGAAAAGCACTTCCATGTATTAGTTAATCTTGTAAGGAGAAAAGAAATGGAAGAGTAAGTTCTGTGAGATCCGGAAAACTTTATGCAAATAGAGTTAAGTGAAGGACAATATAAATGGAAAAAATGGGAGAGAACAAATAGAAGGGACACAAAAACCATTCACATGCACCCTGCTGTTGATGTAAAGACGGGTTGTTGTTACGTATGCATGCATATATATGTATATGTGTGTGTGTTTACATATATATATAAAACATAAATATATCTAATATATATGCACACAAGCTAACAACAGGCAGACATGCATAAACACAGCTAAAAACCACATGTAAGTCCACAACACGCTCTTGCCTTGGAGCAGACACAAACATCCTTTTATAATTGATGACTGCTATGTACACATTCAAGCACAGACACCAGTGGCAAGTAAATAATAAAGAGTTCATTTACAACAGCTTAATTCTCATAATTTATCCTCCTGCTAGCTTTTAGCTATTACTTCTAGACATGAGAATTAAAATTTCGCATAACACAAATCTTGTTCTGATATCTTCAGCTCCCTATGCAACTGTGTAAGCTCTACTGTCTTGTAAAACCAGGACTGTAAGTAATGTTTTGTTTTACCTTTCTTCCTTGCTTTGACGGCCTCTTCCCATAATCTCAGGGTCTCTACCTGCTTTCCAGGCCAACTTGTTACATGTTGCTGCTGCTGCTGCTGCTGCTGCTGTTGCTGCTGCTGCTGTTGCTGCTGCTGTTGCTGTTGTTGCTGCTGCTGCTGTTGCTGCTGCTGTTGCTGCTGCTGCTTCTGATTGCTGGTCTCTTCACTCATGCACGCTATGCCAATTAAGTAAGAACACAAATTCACCTTGCAGTTACACACTTTGCTACTGAGGTGACAAACATGACTTGAAGGATTCCAAGAGTCAGAATCACAGAGGTGGTCAAAAACATAAAATTAATTCTGCGTTTTTTTAAAACTATCTTTCTGAGATCTAAAAGAAAAGGTGCAGTGTCAGGAGCATCTAGTTGCCTGACGAGAAAAAAAAATAAAAAACACACAACTCCTTTCTAATAGTTTACTTTGCTTGTACTTTAGGAAGACCGAAATGCAAGGTTATGAGGACTCTCTAGAACACAAGATGGTTAGTCAGCTCCAGTTTTTGTAAACCTCAGTTCCAGTTTCCAAAAAGACCCCTATCTTGTCATTGCAAGCATGACAACATTTTCAGTTCACATTTCTATCACAGAACAGCATGTTACTTCTCTTTGGCCACACTACAGCTCATCATTTTCACCTCTACCAACTGCTGTGATGCCTCACATGCACTGCTTAGCACCACCAAACTGACAGACCTGTAACCCTATCCTTTGAAAAAGATCTCACATAAAAATTTCACATTATGTTCAACTCTCAGGCATTTCAGATATTCACAGTACCTTCAAATTATCCAGGAGTAACATGAGCTGAAAAGATCCTGTAAATTAATGTTTTAAAAGACTTCAAGGACAAGGTTTCTAAGGACATTCATTTGTTTTCTCCCGTTTGATTCCTTTGAATACCCCACCGTACATCACTAGAGAGGTCTGTTAAAGTTACAGGTATTTTAAGAGGGAATTCAGGGAGTTTAAGACTAGAAGGAACTACTACAGACATCTCACCCGAAGTCCTCTGTAACACAAGTCAAATACCATTAGCGACCAAAGCATATCAAGGCTGGGCTTAAGTGCTGTTCTTGTCAGCTACTGCCAGAGAAATCACTGAGTCTCAGGGCCAAAACTCAGAAAACGCTCAGAAATCTTTCTTTTGACTTCGGTGAGATTTGGGATCAGGCTTCAAACCTGAAACTTGGCAGATATAAGTAGTTCTCAAATATTCTAAAATCTTCTAAATTACTCGTTAGACTTTTAAATTCGTAGTTCAGGAAGTACTAGTGTACTTAGAAGCTGAGAAAACTCTTTTCTTCAAGAGATGGGTTATTCTCACACATTGCAGGGCATTCCTCTAAGAGATAAGTGCACAGTCTAGTACCAAACCAATTCCACATATGCCAATTTCTGGAGCTAAAGATCCTGTTTTCAAATATTTACTTTTAATAGGTGTGAATACCCAAAGTGACGGCTGCTTTTTCATTTTCAAGTAATCACAGGCAACTCTCTTTGCAAACTTTTGCAAACACATAGTTATTAGAAATGTTTTTAAAACGTTCACCTACTTTTATTGATGCCTTGTTTACAGGTATTACAGTTGATACTTTGGCTCTGCCCGTGTGTCTTTAAGTGGCTGGTGATATATGCTGCACTCAGAAGTTTACCACAGATATTACACGATACCTTTCCTTCATGGCGCACCATGTGTGTCCGCAGTCTGTCTTTGGTGGCAAAGGCAGCAGTGCACGTCTACATGAAGGACAACAGTGACTTTTAAAGACAGTGTTAGAGTACGATTTGCATTACCATTTTAGGCCTATTTTACCTGTATCTATTTACACCACTGGTATCCCAAGCCTACAGAAAGCTTGAAGTTTTACTTATAGAAAAAAAACAACATTCAGCTGCTGGGCAGAGACTGAAAATTATCTAGCAGCTTAATGGGAGTGATCGTCTGACACCAACAGGTCAAACTCACACTTTATTCTACCTGAGCTTTCTTAAAATAGAAGGTTGCCTTACGTACCAAAGCAAGAGGCCGCTTATAAACAAACACCTGGAACAGGTAAAGGTAGCATCTGATAAACTTGTACTGCACAAATCTGAACTCGATGTTTTGCACTGCTCAGTTATGTTTCCATCCAAATTAGAAGAAGGAAACAAAACCTTCCTCTATGCCTATTCTTTTTACTCAAAACATGTACTTAATACGGTGAGTCACTAAAATACAGGTTGGAACAAGCATGGATACTCCAAGCGAAACAGTTAATTGTTCAAGAGCAGTCAAATTCTCTCATATAAAACCTTCAACTTACGACATCTTGCTTTCGATTTACAGCAAAATGATGGATCTAGAATTACCTATTCTAACCCTCTTTTTTTCCTATTTTTTCCTAACTTGTATTAGATACAATATTGATTTATATGGATTTCTAGACATTGAGAAAACCCAAGACACACATTATTCCTGCAGTCTACTAAGCTTGCAATCTACTGCTGAGTCTATGTTAAAACAGTGTACCTACATTGTTCTCCAATAAAGTAATCACAGTAGCCTCTTGATTCTTGGAAGATTATTCACCTGATACTTTCTAACTACAAAACCTTGTGTGTTGTTACTAAATTATTTGAACCTTACTTGGCATTTGAAGGGTCTTTCTGTTGAGTGAACGTGTTTAACATGACAGCTTAAATGATCAGGCCTGCAAAAGAAGACGGGAACAGAGAAGAAAACACATCCTGTTACAAACGTGTAGCAGCAACACCCTGGCTAACAGTGCTGACCACTGCACTGTAGACCCTTTGCAGCCCACAGCCCCCTGCACAACAGGAATAAGGACGTTCCCGTTACCTATGAAGTGGCTTTCGGCTACAATAACATAACGAAGTTACACTGAGAGCCGGTTTGCAGTTTAAAACTGAACCGTGCTCTTCCCACACACGTGCAATGGGTCCATGCGCGTGCACCTTGTGCGAAAGGGTGACAAGCGACGGCTCCAGCGGCTGGAGCTCTGTTCCCAGCACAGCCTAGAGCCGGGCACAGCAGCGCGGGCTTCCCCGCTGCGCTCTGCCGGTCTCAGCCGCGGGAAGGGACAGGGAGGCGGCGCGCCTGCCGTGCCCCGCTCGGTCACCGACCCTGCCAAAGGCTGGGAAAGGGGCTCCCTTATCACTGCCGGTGACACAGGCACGTGTCCTGCGGGGCCTGGATGAGGTCCCAACGTCATTTCAAAACACTGCCGTGAAACAGGGACCGCTTTCGGCCACTGTCAAGCTGGCTCGGATTGAGACCCACACCCTAGAGGTAAACAAGGCTCTTTATCCCCTCACCAATCATCTAAGGAGTCTCCTTCTCCTAGCCCCTCGCTATGATAGCTTAACCCTTCTTGGTTATGAAAAGCCAATACTTGAGCTCGCCTGGGATTTTCTACATGGTACCTCGAGAAGCCTTTTCCACAAACACCACAGGTGTACGGTTTCGTGATGCCACCTTCATGAGACCTCACGTGGTAGGTCATGCGATCCTTCCTCTTGAAGCGCTGATTGCAAATGGGACATTCAAAGGGTTTCTCATCTGAGTGGGACAGCTTGTGCCGGTTGAGGTGATACACATCCCTGAAGGCCTTTCCACACATCTCACAAGCGTGGTTCTTCTTAACGGGCTTGCTGGGCTTCTTCACGGTCTGAGTCACTGCCATGGCCGTCGCACCAGCACTGCTGCTGGGGTTGGTGGCAGAGGAAGACGTAGTGACTGTGGACAGGATGCCTGCGATAGTCGAAACCAAGGAGCTTCGGCTGTTGTCACCAGCGATGGTCGAAATAAGGGGCACCATTGTGGTGGGAGTTTTCTTTGGCCGTGACACTAACTTTATCCCTGTGTGGCAGGACTCGTGACGCCTCAAATGGTAGCTGTCCCTGAAAGCTTTGCTGCAGTAAGTGCACACAAAGGAGGTTTTAGGTTTTTCCTTTTTAATCCCAACAATAGCATCCTTTAACGTTTCTTGTGCAGGCTGAGGTTTCTGCGTTATTGGTAAGGGCAGAATCGGCTTCTGATCGGGTGGCTCAACAGCAGAGCTCAGGAGAGGCAACAAACTGTTCTGCGCTGCCTGCTGTTGGTGATGTGAGGCTTCATGTGCCTAAAACCAAACATTCACACTTAAATTCTATTGATGGGTGCTCACTTTGACGCGGTGAGAACATGTACAAACTACCAAAAGCAAATTCTAGACCAAAAGCCGCTGAGGGAACAAGGGGAAAGGGTTGCATAATGCTGTTCTTGGGCGGGATAAGGCACTCGCACAGTAAATGCATGCTCTGTGCAGATTCTGTGGTGAATAAGTGTAGGAAGGCACACATCATAACAATCAAATAATTATTAAGTTTCCGGAGGGCAACATTTCTCATGGAAAACAACTAGGTGCTTGTCAGATCTCTTGCTAACATATCGTTTGATCTTTACATAACAGATACTTGCTTTGCATCATATCAGATACCACACTGGGACTACCTTCGGAGCTTACGAATGCACCGACGGAGCAGCAAGCAGTGCTCCACCTTCAAAATTAAGCCGAGCTTAGTGCATGCCGAGAATTAAACCGCGGCCGCAGAGGGCCGGGATGCGATAAGCCATCTTATTTGAACAAGGTGTTTGTACCAGGACGCTAGCGCTGAGGCCATTGCAAAGCAACTCGGATCAAGGGCCGGTTAAAGCCTGCGTGCTATATTTAGCGGGCTCCCACTGCATTTACACAGCCATCGCTGGGTTCCTCGCATCTGCAAACTAAGAGCAATAAAGACACGTTCTTTTTCTCTTCATTGGAACTGTTTTGCGACCTGAAGTTACTCAATAAGCCCTGGTAGATATCCAGAAATCTGGGAGAACACAGTGCAGAAAAGAAAGGGGACAGAGGGATGGAAAATAAAGACGTCAAAGCTGCTTTAAAGCAGCAAACAGAGCTGAGCCCAAGCTCCAGAGCACGGGCAGAAGCTAGGGGAAAGGAGGCGGGCACAGTGTGGCGTACGGAGCGCGCGGGCCTCGAGCGCGGGCGGCCTCCGCTGCGCCCTGCTCACGCACACGCAGTAACCGCTGCTACGAAAGCTCATCCCGTTAGACCGGGACAGAAGCCCAGCAGATACAAATTTAAAGTGGTTTAGAAAGCACACAGACCAATTCAGCCTAATGGAGCATTAAAATAAATCACCAGCACCTTTAAGCCAGTTTAAGCACATCTGCAGGCAAGATGTGCCTCGCTCTCATCAGACCAGTTTTAAATTGGCCTAGTGACTAACGCAGCAACACGAGGGCTGAAGCGGAGTTGGGGGAGCCCTGCATTCACATTAAATCAGTACTCCAGCCTCCCAGGATTTCTTCTCTGTGTTTTCCTTCATAAAATAACATGTGCTTCCTTTCAGCACTTGAGGCTGTGAAAGCTGAATAAATCATTGGGTGTTGCTGTGTGCAACCTCCCACATCTCTGCTTTTATTTTGGTGGGGAAAAGGACAGTTTTAACAAGCACACTCCAAAATCCTTTCCATGTTAACTGTGTCAGGCCCTTCCGAGAGGTCAGTACTGGGCTCACGGGGAACTTTCCTTGGGAACCCCCAGTCACTTTGCCTGCAAGCACCCAGAGCCAGCAGCGAGCACGGCACACGCAGGCCCGGGCTCGGAGCGCCCTGGGTGCTTGGGTTCCTGCTTCCTCCTGCTACGTGTACAAACCCTGCATCGCTCGCCGCTCGCTCGTCAGGAGGGCACCGCTGATCCTTGGACGGGAGCCACAGGTGAACGCAAGCGCTAGCCCGCGGGACAGGGAAACATGTTCCTCGGCTCCCGAGCCTCTCACAGGGAAAGGGTTCGCGGGAGAAAGTCGGGATTAAGGAGACTGAAACACACAACTCGGGGGACTCGCCAGGGCCACACAGCTCCTGCGGCCACCCCACCTGCCACCGAGTGCCCCGGGGCAGCCCCACTCGGGCCACGCGCAGCGGGGACCTCAGCGCAGCCCAGGGCCGCTCTGCAGAGCCGGCCGCCGAAGAGCCAGAGCTGTGCTGGATGCTCACCTCCCCAGGCAGCGTGTCGCACACGGCTCATCTTTTCCATTCCCTTTTTGCCTGACTTAAGTGACAGTTGTGGATTTTCAACCATTTATTTTCCATATTTAAAAAAAAAAAAAAAAGGATTGCGACATCTACATTGCTTAAAGAGAACAATATATATACATACACAACGCAAGTACAATATTAAGCAAGTTATGTACTTAAAAAATACAGTTTTACTTTTGAAAAATTGGAAATGTTTTACAGCCAACTTTAAATAAGCATTAAACAATGTTGTTAACTGGCATCAGAAGACACTTAAGAGCACCTAAGGATAGCTCAAGATATACAATTTCAAAGGCAGAGCTAGCAGATCGGATAATAGGGAGCCCAAATCTTTTGGACAGGGTTCAAACTTAGGCAGTTTATGGACACTTTCTAGCCTTAAAGAAACATTAGCACTTCAAGGTAATGATGCAATATTCCTATTGCACTAACACAGATGTTGAGTGTAAAACGGTGTATATTCACAAGGCTCCACGCTCCCTGGCCAGTGCTTATGTAAGCCTGCTTATCTGGGTTCCCAGATGCGCAGCGTTCCCGGCGCTGCTGTCCCGCTAAGCAGCCCTTCCCGCAGGGAGCGGTGGCCGGCAGGAAGGCAGCACCTGCTGCTCTGCCGCCTTCGCGACTCATCTCCCCTCAGAACGGCGCTTTACTCGACCTAGCATTAATGTCGAGGCAACATCTTTGTGGCATTTGCATCGCCCGGGACAGGCTCCCATGCAAAATACCCTCCCTCTATCACAAACATCTTTCTTTCTAGGGGGGTAGTAAGGAAAGCAAGAGCTAATTCATGACCCTGAGTGGTAGGAGGCGGCACTGTGAACTTCCAGTGCCAGAGGCTAGAAGATTTTAGCGCTCGAGCCTTAATGTGAGAGCAACAAATTAGCATGAGTCATATCTTGAACGCTCCATCTGATGGATGATTTCTCCTAACACTAACAGATACAACTTTCACTCTCCCAGCAGATAGTAAAAGCGGCTTTCAAAACATGCATTTCAGGGCACTAATAAAATCCAAACAAGATCTGCTTACTCAATAGAGTATTTTTTTTTTTTTTTAAGAAGAGATACAATTCATCAAAATACCACCTAAGCACAATCAAGCAACTTTATTCAGTAAGAGCAATGGACAGTTATTGCACATATCTAATTGCTGTTAAGATTAAGACAATGACTCCTTTTCTGAAAGCACTTATCTAAAAACTATGATTTTACACACTGATGATTAAACCTTCCCTTAGAAAAACCTGTCACAGCTGAAAAACACATGAAGTAAAAAAAAACACCCCTAAAAAGAATTATGGTGTGTATGCACTCATTTGGACTTGTTATTTAACTCTTACTGGTGTTTAAGGCCCTTAAAACCCACTCTTTCCTATTAGTTTTTAAATAATCTCTGGGTTTTGGTTTAGACTTTGTTGGTGGGGACAGAGAGAAGAAACACTAAGCCAAGTTAACATCAAAAAAATATTTCAATAATGCTTTCTGCTGGGTACACGATGTGCTTATACCCTAAATCACTGGACTTAACAAAATGACTCAAGAAACAATATTCAGCTTTCATTATGTGGTCTTAAAGTTTTATTATATGGGGAAAAAAAATCAGAGAAAAATTTCCAAGTCACGGTTTTATGAAGATGCTTTGAAGTTGCACGTAACTAAATACGTTAGGAAAGGGAACTGCTGGCTCTGTAATTAAAAGCAGCAAAACCTACTACTAAACTGAAGCAAAAGTGGGACGAGACTATTTCAAAATGCAGCATCCTTTAAAAAAGTTAAGTAGAAACAAGCAGCGAGAAGCTGAACACACATTGGTAAGCAGTGCTTAGCGTTGGTTGAAGAGGCTGCTAGAATACAGTATTTCCAGCCCAATAATCGCTTTTCCCCCAACCATTCAAGAGGAGCGTGCAGAAAGGAGACAAAGCGACCCGAGCATGGAGGGGGGCGGCCCTAAAGCCGCGGGATGAACTTCTCCGGGGAAACTTTCCCGACGTGCAAATCACAACTGCCCACTAGAGCCGGAATCATTTACAAGACCGGAGCCAGCCCCCGTGTCATGGGCGGTGTTAAACCACGAAACTACACAAAAATCGGGCTCCTTTGGGCCAGGACGGGGCGGGAGAGGGCGGTTTTGGGTCCGTGCAGGCGCGCGGTGCCCGGCTCGCGCCGCGGCCGCGCTCGGGAAGAGGGGACATTCCCTGCGTGTTTTCGGAGGCAGAGCACCCCAGCCCGTGACTCATCCCTCGGCACTTGCGAGGCGCTCGTTTTTCCTCTATAAAGCAGCGGTGCGCGCTCCTTGCCCGTTTATTCATCCGGCCCGGGCTTCCAAATTCACGTCGCGGGCTGGGGGGTTTGTTTTAATTCCAACTAGGACAGTGAGTAAGCAAGTGTCCGCAGTCGGGAATTTGCGAGGAGCATTATTCTACCTAGGGAAAAAGGCGATGTGCACGCTTCCCTTCCACTTTTTTTTTTTAATTATTTTTGCTGCTGCTGCAGTTGCACATTTTAATGCTTTCAAGCTCAAAAAGAACAGGAGGCATCAGAAAAGAATCCGGCATGGAGAAGATCCGGGTTTCAGTTTACGAAAACAAGGGGATTTTTTTTTTTTTTTGCACGCCGGATTTTCTGCGGAATTACATAAACAGCGGTATTTTTAAGCAAGTCTTTTGCAGACAGAAAAAAAGAAAGGAACAAAAAAGAAAAAACAAATCAAGCAGTGGGGAAAAAAAGCAGTGAGTCAGTTTGCAGAGGGAGGGAAGGAGAGAAGCGCTGCCCGGTCCAGGCGCCGCATTCCTCCCTAATATCGCTTGCGTTTATCCGCTCTTCGTACGCGCGCACATCAAAAAGGGGAAAAAAAAAAAGGAAAAAAATTGGGGGGAAAAACGAAAAGAGGAGAAAAAAGAGAATTAAAACGCGGTGCGAGCAGCCCTGTCCTATTTTAAAAGAAAACAGGCTGGCTCGTCACTCAGCCCCTGAGTCAGGCTGTTTAAAGAGGGATTAATTTATTCTCCCAGACACCGTGTTTGTTCCAGCGGGTTT